ACAAAAGATCATATCCGAGAAGGCTGTGCACCAAGTTGTTCTCACACAAAAACTCACACGTTCGTATCTAACCACAATAGTAGTCAGATTCAGGTTTTCACTGTTTGTGTTTCTTGTTTTTTTTTTTTTTTTAGTTTTGGTGCCCCGTCAAGGAGGCACGGTGATGTCCATGAGCTATTGATACCTTGTGGAGGAGGGTGTGCCCACACTATTACTTTGTATAATATATGAAGCCGCTTTCCAAGCCTAAGTCCAATTTCAATTTTTTTTGTTTTTTTCCTTTTTCCGTAGACCTGCGCCTAGTTGGTGTCAAGTCGATGGACTAACGACAAGTTTGGCTTAAAAGCTGTGGGACATTTGTTATAATGACCCTGAAAAAACCCTGGAAATTTAGGGCTCTGTTAACCTCTTCTCGCTCCCGAGGGTCGGACGTTATGGAAATGTCGTACCCTGTTGATGTGGACTTATATGAAGTTCAGATGCATATAGGTTGGAAAACGTCGGACCCCTTGGACATATCTGGGTTTTTATGAAGTTTAGATACATTCAGGGGGTACCGCGTTTTCAGAATGCCGGACCCTCATGAGCATCGAAATATTATGATTTTTGGGCTTCATGGTCCTGCACGTACTCTGGAGCATTTTTGTGTGCTGCAAGGGACAACATCGAGGCCACAAACGACCTGAAATAAGTATGTACAAACAAAAGCGCAATAATGGTATTAGGTCATTCGTCTAACTTCTCAATAATATATGAACTGGATGCATCTCTTCCGATCTTTTCAGTAATAGGAGAACATTTAGAAGTAAAATAACTTTTGCTTATTCTTGTGGCGACGTCCTCCTTGGTCGCTTGTCGTTTTCGCCATTATGCTTTTCTCATACCAAAACTTACCTATGGAACCTGATGCACGGAGATCTCAATTTTCACCCAAGACTCCATCCCCACCTTCAAAATTTATTGGGATACCTCTTTTTGTTGCAACCTTTTTGGGCCTACTCCCACTCCGATTAGAAAGTTGCTACGGGTGTGGGGTTGTGCGTCATGCAATGCTCAAGTACTACTTTGGCTGGTGGGGAAGGACCTGCCGCAGTAGGTGCAGATTGGGGATCTCCACACCAACCGGTCAAGGGTAGGAAGGCACTTACAGGTTAGCTGCAACTGGCAGGCCTCGATCGGATGTTGGCATGGGATGTGTGTAGTTATCTGCCATGGCAAGGCTCTATGGAATGGCCTACTGTTGAGGACTGTTCCTACGAACTCCAACAGTCTAGCAGCTCCAACAGTAGGCCCGCAGTAGATGTTGCTCAGAAAAAAAGAAAACGGCAAGAAAAAGAACTGCCCCTCTCACTCTTCGCTCATCCGTCTAAATCCATCCCCTACTACTGTGGCCTAGTTCCCCCATCCACTTGCTGAGCAAGATTCGTGGGGTGTCCTTCCAACACCAACTGGGAATAGGCAGGAGAGGGTGGGGTGTCCCCTTCTAACACCAACTGAGCATAGGCAGGAGAGGATGAGGGCGATGGAATCGAACCCATCACCTCTCCGTTGGAATGCCAGAGCACCCTGCTCGTGCTAAGTTTGCGCCAAGCTAGCACGGACCTGGCCATTCTGCTGACCAGGGCCTGGCCCAACCGGCCCTCTGCAAGTACCTTAGGCATGAACCTGGGGAGAAAACCGTCACGTTCGTGCTTTGTTAGCACTACCATAGCACCTGCCTCGAGACCAGGGGCTAGGTCCCACTTACACGAATTAAGCCATATTGACCGTAGATTGCAAAGATCAACGGCCAGAATCTCTTAATCCGTGCAAGTGGGACCTTGCCCCAGGTCTATGCTTCGTCACCGGGAACATGGCACCTGTGGGGCTAGGGCCAACACTCATGTCATGCCTTTCTTATGGATAGCTATCTCGTGTATATGACATGCAAGTTCCCCGCAAGCTATCATATTGCGTTTCCATTTCTGGCTATACTGCCTGTCCCTATTCCGGCGCACTAAAATGAGGCACCTTACGTGATAGGAACACCATTAGCCCAAAGGCAACAATGATTATTTTCATCACACCTGATAAAGGACGCTGCTAGAGAGGCGACGCCCCCGGGCTAAGTAGGGTATACAGGACAGTCCGTCCCCAAGGGCGTTCCCCGTGTGGAACATCGGCAATATCCCTGGCAGTCCTCTACCCCAAACTCCGGTTCGAATCACGGTTCCAACCAGGTCAGATGGTCGTGCCAGCGGAGCCAGGGAGTGGGAGTAATGACGCTGCCACAAAATAGGTAGGTCACGTTTGTGTCCGAGTTGTATGCGCGGCTATGGAATGGCGCACGAACGGGGATCGCTCCACTGCTCTCGAAATGTGCAAACCGAGAGTGAATCTTCCGTTAGAACATGGAAAGATGCACCGCCCTCATTCTTGTCTTTTATGCATGTCGAGAGTAGTGGAGCGAGGCCCATTGGGCAAGGTCCCACTTGCGCGGACTAAGAGATTCTGGCCGTTGATCTTTGCTATCTACGGTCAATATCGAGTATTTCGTGTAAGTGGGACCTAGCCCATTGTCCAACGGTAATATCGTCGGAGCGGAGCGTGGCCATTCGGATCCAGGCCATTCGGATCCAATAGTCCTGGGGTACAGCTGGACGGCCCACGGGCTATAGAAACTGCCTCTACTTCCCTGGCGCGAGGAATTCCAGCCCCTGACAAATGACTTCGAAAATGGCCTCGCTACTGCATCACTCCCTTGAAAATAACGCACGCACCCTCAAAACGAATGTATACAAGTATTTCCAGTCGGGTACCGCCAAAGTAAGGGTGTGTTGTGTTCGGGGGAAGACGGTGGCCAACGCCCGGGCGGCGTCCGCTTGTGAAAATTGGTGACGGGTATCATTTTCCGGAAAGATACACATTCACCCCCCAGGGCCAAGTCCCACTTACCCGACTTCTTCACTTCTGACCGTTGATTCTGAAGATCAACGACCACAAATGAAGAATTCAGCCGGCGTGTCCGATGTGAAAATTTGTGAAAATTGCTGCGGTGTATCGTTTTCCGGAAAGATACATTCACCCCTGGTTAGTAGATTTGGCGTGTGGTGCAGCGAGGCCCGGAGGAAGCGAGAAAAAAAACCCCACCTCCGGTGTGTTTCCGTCGTTTTCCAGGGCTCTTTTCCCTTTTTCATTTTTATCCGGGTCACCCCTGATATATTACACATGAGACGTTGAGCGTTTCCAACACCGGGGGCTAGGTCACACTTGCACCAATTATGCGATATCAACCGTTGATAGCGAAGATCAACGGCCGAAATCTCCTAATCTGTGCAAGTGGGACCTTGCCCCTGACCTGAGTGTTACCGGCTCACATCTGTCCGTCATTCCGCGCGATTGCACGGTCCCTTTCCTCGAAGACATGGTCACTCCAGAGGACCTTCGTTTACTACCAAGCTCTGGGTACGATTACGGTCTCATTCATCCTGGACAAGCCGTAGATGAGGTCAGATACATTCAGGAGAGTTGTGGTCCGAGGCCCATTTTCCTTCGTTTTCGTTTCTAACGGCCGCAGCAGAAGCAACAGCAAAACCCTTCACTTCACAAAAGAAAAAACAAATTTGCAAAATTTGCAAATTTATGTCGAACGGCTATGCGCCGCAGGGAGCTGCCGAGCGGGGTACTACGGCCGGCGCGGTCCTTGTGTGTGTGTTTTTTTTTTTTTTTTTTTTTAATTTTTAAACTTCCTGTGTTTTGTGTTTCCGAAGGCGGGCGTTGTTGTCCGGTGGCGGGGAATTCGAAAGTTCGAAGCCGCGCGCGAAGCCGCGCGTGGGGTTGAAGCAACGGCGTCAGCCGGCCATCCCGCGCAAGGGGAGGAGTTCAGGGCAGCTCTGTTTCCTTTCCATTCCATTAACATTAATTGATAGCCACGCAGAGGATTGTCACTGGAGTAGCGCCTCATCCGCTGCCGCATGTCTCGTTTCTCAGTCTACCCCCTGATTTATTTGCCGCACCGACATCTCCGTTTGGTATTAGATCGCGGTCCGTGCACGAGGTTACGTCAAGGGCGTTTTCGTCGCCATCGTCCTGCCTTCCTTCCTTCTATCTTCTTGGGCAGAGGGCGGGCTTCAGCAGAGCGCATCACACCTCGTAGGTGTATAGCTCAAGTGTGACCAACTCCATCTTCCTGTGAACGACGAAGAACGACAGCAACTACGCTGTGAACTCGTGTAGCGAGAAGACACACTGCTGATTGGAGACGAACTGTCCTCTATACATTTGTTGAGCGGCGGATCGGTTTTGCTTCCTTGTTGATATCAATTTTTTCTCAGTGATTGGTGTGTGCGCGCGGGCTGGTCATGCTGAATCGACGGCGCTATTTTGTGCTGCCGCTATGAGCTATCACTCAAAAGAGCGCGCGTTCGTCACACATGTGTATGGGTTGGTGGATCGGTTGCTATCTCTGTAGATAGCTATCACTTCGAGGGATTGAAGTGAGTGCTGGTTTTATCGAATGCACGGCGCCATGTTGTGCAGGCGGTCGCGCTATCATATGTCAGTTGAATCGGGTAAGCTCTTCGCTTTGTCGTAGGGTTCGATAGATAGCAGATGATCATGGTGATTCGTGTGCCTGAATTTGGCGTCGGAAGGTGTAGGAGTGCGTCGTCGACTTGGTGTTTAGGAAGGAGATCTGAGAGTTTCCCCCCTTCGCGGATTCATCAGCTTACGTTAGACCTTCCATTGCCAGCTAAGTCCTGCGACCTGTTCAAATCAATCCTCGCGTTTTCAAATCAATCCTTTTTAAATTAATCCGGGCGAAATCTAGCCGAACAGGTTCATCACGTTCGCTGATCAAGGCCGGAGAGAGAGAGAGAGAGAGAGAGAGAGAGAGAGAGAGAGAGAGAGAGAGAGAGAGAGAGAGAGAGAGAGAGAGAGAGAGAGAGAGAGGTTGCTAATTGCATGGGTGATCGATCCGTTAACAGGATTCCTCTTAAGTTACGCTACACTGAAGGTCGCTCTAAATAAAACATCTGGGTGAAGCGAGTTGTGTGTGTTTGGAGTGCTGGGCTTTGGAGCGATCGCATGTGCAGAAGTGAAATTTTCATCTTCATTTTGCGCCTGGATCGCACATTCGGCGGCGTTGGGGAAAGTAAATATTACTGAGGACACCACATTAATCTTCTTGTACAGGTACGATTACCGAAATTTCAACGGACCTGACGCATTCCTCCTTTGTTTTTTCTCTCTTTTTTTCCGTCTCCATCATGACCCTGAATATACTTCTTTCGGACCCTGAATACACTTTTTTCGGTCCCTGAATATTTTTTTTTCGGACCCTGAATGTACTCCTTTCGGACCCTGAATTTGTAGTACACTCCCACCGTCCGTCACCTTCATTTCATTTCGTAACGTTTTTAACTCGTACCTTGTGCTGTATTTATAATTTGTTCGTCATCCTCAGTTTTTATTAATTGTTGATCGACCTACTGTTCTCTTCAGTCCGGGACCTTACTCTGTTCCTCATTTCTCCTCTGACGTTCTACTTTCCTCCGTCCGTCGTTCCTCGTGAGATCTCGACTCCCTTTTACATATCTGCCTCTCTTTCGACCCTTCTCCCTTGTCGTGCTCTGTCTTCGCCTCTCTTTCCATTTCCTATCTGTCACCTCCTTCCCCTCCGCTTGTCTCCCTTCACCTCCTTCCCCTCCGCTTGTGTCTCCCTTCTACCCCTGTCGGTCGGTCCCTTAGCCTCCATAGCGTGATCTTTTCTTCTACGTCTCTCGCTCTTCCCTTGTCTGTCTGATTCCTCGTCAGTCGCGCGTGCCTTTCCCGTGTGCCTGCGGTTCGCGTCCACTGTGTTGGTGTCCCTATTCCCCTCCGTGTCTCTAACAGCTTTGTCGTCCTCCTTCCTGATGTCTGTCTAACTCGTTTTGATTTTTCACCGATCCTCTGTCTGGTTCCGCTTTTGTCTCTCGCTGTCCTTCGCGTTGCTTCCTTCCCTCCGTCTCCGTACCTCCCATCTCTTCCCTCCCCTCCGTCTCTTCCCTCCCCTCCGTCTCTTTTCCTTCCCTCCGTCTCTCTTCTGTCTTCCCTCACCTTCGTCTTCCCTCGCTTCGCTGCCCCTCTCTCCCTTCGGTCCCTTCCCTTCCCCCGCGTGTAGCTCCTTTCTCCCCGGAGTCCCGACATCTAGCTCTTCCCCCGTCATCTAGCTCTTCCCCGGGCGGCTGGATTCTCCCTCGGGCGTCTGGGTTCTCCCCCGGGCGTCTGGGTTCTCCCCCGGGCGTCTGGGTTCTCCCCCGGGCGTCTTCTCCCCCGGGCGTCTGGCTTCTCTTCCGGGCGTCTGGCCTCTCTTCCGGGCGTCTTGGTTCTCCTCCCCCCGGCGTCTGGCTCCTCCCCGGGCGTCTGGCTCCTTCCCGGGCTTCTGGCTCCTCCCCGGGAGTCTGGCTCCTCCCCGGGCGTCTGGCTCCTCCCCGGGCGTCTGGCTCCTTTCCCCCTGTGTCTGGCTCCTCCGCCGTGCGTCTGGCTTCTCCCCCCTGCGTCTGGCTCCTGCGCCCAGCGTCTGGCTCCTCCCTCCTGGCGTCTAGCTCCTCTATGGATCCTCTCCTGCGTCTCGGCCCTCTGCTGCTGCGTCTGGCTCCTCCCTCTTTTCTCTGTTCCTTCCCCCTGGCATTTGACTTTCCTCCACCTCCCTGCGTGTCGGCTCCCCCTGCAAGCGTTTCACTGCGTTTCGGCTCTCCCTCCCTCCGTCTCGGTTCCCTCTTTTCGTCTCGCTTTCGCGCCGTTTGTGTCACTTCTGCCCGCCCCCCTCTCCTGCCTGCGTCTTGCTTCCCTTTCATGTTGCTGATTTTTTTCGCCGCTCGTCTCCTTCTTCGTCTTTCTCCCTTGTGTCTGTCCCTCTCGTCTGCTTATGTGCTCTTCGCATATAGTTGTTTTTCCCGCAGAGCTTTCTCACTCTGTCTTCCTGTCTCTGCTCTCTGTATTGCCCTCTCCTGTTCCGGTGTTGCTCTCTCACTTTCTCCTCTACCTCCTCCATACTTTTCCTGTCTCATCGCACCCTTCCTGCGCGTCCCCTCTAGCATGTGTTTTTTCCCTTTACCCAGCTCTTATCTATCTTCCCTTCTACCTCCATCTCGGCATTCTTACGCAATCCCTTCCCTTACCCCCGTTTGTTTACCTTGGCTCATCTTTTCAGCCTGGCTTGTCCTCGTCCTCTTTCTTTGTTCACCCGGTCCTCCGGTGTCTTGCCCAGTCTGTTGGTTTACACTCGTTTCTCGGCTTCTGATTTGTCTCCCGCGCTCCTATGTTTGTCTTCTCTCCAGTCTCTTTTCCTTGGACTCGCATTTATATCCTTGCCCAGTCTCTTGGTCTGCACTCGTTTCTCCAGTCTCTTTTCCGCGGACTCGCATTTATATCCTTCGCAGGGCTCTCTTTGCTTCCTCCTTTCTTCTACCTTTTCCGTGCCTCGTGTCCCCCGTTATGACCTATCCCGTCATATCCCTTTACAGTCACCCCCTTGCCTTCCTTTATGGACATCTATGTGCCGAACTCTTTTATTTCGCTCTCTTCTCCCTCCCTCTGACTTTCTCCCCTGTCGCTGTTTTCCTCTCCTTTGCGCCCATGGCGTCTCTAGCAGTCCCTATATCTCTCCTCTTGTACTGCCTCCCTATTCTTCTCTGCGTTCCTTTCCGCTTACCCCCTGCCCTTCATTTCCTCTCTTCCTGTCTCTCTGCGCTCCTCTCTTGAGCTCCCTTAACTCCTGCCCCCGTTCCACCCCCGCCCCTTTTACCCACTTCCCCCCGCTTCCCCCTCCTCTATCTGTTGGCCTCCCTGCGTCTCTTGTCTCTTTCCATCCGAAGGCTTTTGAATTCCACAGCGATTATGTCTCTTTCCATCTGAAGGCTTTTTGATTCCACAGCGATGAACTGTCTTTATAAATGGAAGCTTTGGTGTTACGGTCGATTGTATTTCATAGCACAGGTTGATTGATATGGTTCATTTTTGCTTCGTTGTTTTGCCTGATTCCTCGGTGCAGTCGGTTATCCATCTCTGATAGACAGCCCGGGCTCTCTCATAGAAAGTCCGTGCTCTCTTGTAGACAGCGCGGGCTCTCTCTCATAGACAGCCCGGCGTCTGATGAGATAGAGAGCTCTCTGCAGGCAGGGCTCTCTCACAGACATGCCCAGACGCAGCAGCGGAGGATCTTTGCAGTTGATGTCTACTTCGAGAAGTCCCTCCTCTGCAGTTGGCTTTCCATCTCTCTGTTGATATCTCGTGATCCTCCTCTGCTCGGGTATTGTCTGATTCCTCTGCAGTTGGCTTTCCATCTCTCTGTGGATATCTCGTGATCCTCCTCTGCTCGGGTATTGTCTGATTCCCGGCGTCGGTTTGAAAGGATGCTTGCAGTCCCATTTCGATCCAGGTTCATGGATTCATTTTGGTGCTGATGTCATTTTTTCCTGTTTTGTCTTTTTCGTTGATTGCAGGTTGTGAGAAGCTTTTGAGTGTTCGACATGACAGTGGGAGGCGTCTCCTGCTCCAGTGAGGGACATAGTTCATCTTCCGCCTCTCGCCTGAAGATGGCGACAGGCCGTGGAACGGCTTCGCAGCTGGGTAAGGTTGTTGGGTCTCGTCCTCATCACCGATCAGTTGGACACGTGGCGTCAGACTCGAATTCTAGCGGACGTCGCACTCCGCCTCGCTCGCACACGTTGTCTTCGTCCTCGGTGTCGCGCTTTGGCAGGGATTTGCCGCGGACAGGGGGGCGACACGAGGGCATCTCGTGCTCGTTACCCTCCTCTCCTGTAGGTGCGCTCCAGAAAGAAAAGAGCGATTCGGGTATTCATCATCAGCACGGTGCGAAAGAAAACATATCGCGAGAGAATCTTCATCCTTCTTCCCAAGATCCTCTCAAGGATGCAAGCGACGCAGCCGCCATTCATCCCGTTGAAGTTGTCGGGCGTTTCAGAGATGATCCCCTCGGTGATTGTGCACCCTCGTCTGTCGTTCTCACACCGAGTCGGCGCAATGTCCGCGTCGATAACAAGGTCTACGTGCTGGATGGAGTGTCGGTTTCACGTGAGGAATCTTTGGAGAAATTTTACCAGAGGTACGTGCAGAAGAGGATCGAAGACGTTGTTGAAGGCGGACGGTGCACGGTGATGATGTACGGACCCACTGGGTCGGGGAAGAGCTACACGACTTTTGCGCCAGGAAAGGGCCTTGCGTACCAAGCAGTGGAACAAATGATGGGCTGCATGACGAAGCCAACTTCGCCATTGCGGTTGGGAGAAGGAGGGAGTTCAGGCGGCAACGACGGGATGCGTAGGCGAAGCGGCGGCGGTGGAGGGGTGCTGAGCGAAGTGTTCGCTGGTGGAAGCAATGGAGGAGGTCCCAGTCCGAGAGCTAAAAGGCCGCTCGTCGTGCAAGCGACGGTGCTGGAGATTTATAACGAGAGGGTGTATGATCTGTTGGCTTCGACTTCTGCAGCCGGAGCTGCCGGCCAGGCGATCGGTAATGCGTCTATAAGGGGGAGGGAAGGCCCGGGAGGGGAAAAGATCCCTCGGGTCGAAGTGAGGGGTGGAGAGGCCGTCGGGTCCTTGTCCATCTCAGGATCGGAGCCGAAGAATTTGATGCGTGCAATCGAACGCGGAATTCGACGGCGTGTTCAGGCCTGTACAGAGCTCAATCATAGAAGCTCAAGAAGCCATTGCATGCTGATCTTGAGGATCCCTGAGGTCGGTGGGAAGTTAACAATCGTCGATATGGCAGGCAGCGAGAGCGCAGAGCGTGCTGGGGTCACCGGAGAAGAGGTCAAGCAGACGGGAGCTATAAACAAAGGTCTGAGAGCATGGCGCCGAGTCGTGGATGCCAAGGTGACTGGAGACGCGCACGTTCCCTATCGTGACAGTAAGCTGACGGAGTTGCTGAGGGAATCCTTTGAAGGCGAAGGAAGGATCTTGATGATACTATGTGCGAGTCCTGCAGCAAGCCAGGTTCATGAAACGATAGGCACGCTGACTTATGGCGCGAAGGCGAAGAGGATAATCAAGCCTGTGATTGTCGAGAGGGCCGAAGGTGGGGAGGCGGCAAAAGAAATGGAGACGTTGCGTGCGTGCATGGAGAAGAACGATTCGCGGTTGGAAATGATGAAAGTGAGCTGGGAAAGACGCGACGGCGAGAAGGATGCACAGCTGCGCGAGATGAAGAGAAAGATCGATGTATTGCAGAGGCGCTTGAAAGACGAGGAAGACAAACGGGTGCGGGAGGTAGAGACGATCCGAGCTGTCTATGAGAGAGCCCGGGCAGAGGATCACGAGATGTGGGCATTGGAGAGGAGGGACTTGTTGACCAAGGTTCGGGACTTGGAGGTGGCGCTTGCATTAGAAAGTCAAAGAAATGCACTAGTCCAGAGCGAGGAGGTGTGCGAACGGCCGCTCGTCGAGGGTAAGGTGGTTGAGAGAAGCAGGAGGAGCAGGGAGAAAGGCATCGAGCAGCCATATGATGTCGCTTGTGGAGGAGAAGACGTGCTGGTTGGCGACGAAGGTGCTGACCCCGTCGCAGGTAATGCGGTGGAGTTGAATCGTGATGATGGCATGGATGATGATGACGATGATCAATGTCGTAATGAGGATGATAATGCTGCTGCGGGGTCGAACGATGTTGTTTCTGTTGCTGCTGCTGCTGGTGATGATGATGATGGCAATGATGATGTTGACCTTTACCATAATGCTAATGATGATGATGATGATGATGATGGTAATGATGATCATAAAGATGGCCCGTTGAATGATGTTGTATCTGCAGGCGCTGCTGATTATGATGATGATGATGGTGATGGTAATGGTGATGATAATGATAGCCCTGCATTGTATCCTGCTGCTTCTCTTGCTGCTCCTGATGATGGTCCAGGGGATGATATGGTAGACGACAAGGTGGACGTCTCTTCCACTTCTGCAGTCGGTCATTTTGTTAATGACGGAGGCACTCCCGCCGGGACTGCCAGAATTGCCATTCGTGAGTCTAAGGTAAGCGATGGGGAACTGCGGGATGGGGATGGCGACCGATCGGCGGTAGGTAATCCAGGCGCGGATGTGTTGGTGGATGCCTCTTCCACTCCCGCTGCTGATTGTGTTGTTACTGACGGACGGAGTGGTGCAACAGTTTATTATGCTGATGTTGTTGGGCAATCTGGTGATGGCGACGGCCGACGGGAGTCGGGCAATGCAAAGATGGTAGTGGATATCTCTTCCACCCGCGCCGAGATTATTTGTTCCGTTGATGATGGAGGCAGCGTTGCAGATACTACTGCGAATGTCGTTGCCGTATCTAGTGGGGACGTTGCAGTACGGAATGCTGAAGACGACGACCAATTGGCATTAGTACGGAATGCTGAAGACGACGACCAATCGGCATTAATAGGCTCGACAAGGGCAGTGGTGGACATGTCGTCTGCTCCTTGCAACGGTCCTGATGATGAAGCAGGTGGTGATGCCTCGGCTTCCGCAGAGGACGTTGTCGGATATGCTGTCGTGACACCAGCGCAGAACCCGGAGGGGAAGGAGGATAAGTTCCCCATCTCGTCAGGTTCCGAGGCGGATTCGACTGGGCTTTGTGAGGAGCTGAGAAGAAAGCTGGTTTTATATGATGACGTGGAGTCTTCTGTAGGTAACGACGTGTCTGCACACGTGTCGTCGTCTTGGAGCGGGAATGATGATGGCTCGCTTGAAGCATGCTCTTGCTTTGCTGTGGGGGAACCGACGGAGAGAACGCTAACATTTGGCGTACTTGAGACACACGAGGTGTCGATCAAGCCGATGCCGACAGCGCCTAATTTGGAAGAGATGGGCTCTGATCCGAACGTCCCGATTTGTGAAGTGCCAGTTAGCCATCACTTGATGGGTTCATCGGAAGAAGACGGATCTTGCGTAGCAGTTGTGCAAGTGCCAGTTAGCCATCACTTGATGGGTTCATCGGAAGAAGATGGATCTTGCGTAGCGGTTGTCCTGGACAACCAGAGCGTAGCAGCAGCAGATAGATCGTGTATTGCAGTTGTGCAGAATGCGGTCGTGGGTGTGGGTTGTGCAGATGAGAAGGTGGAAGAGATGGTCCCTAGTGCGGACAAGGTCCCTGAAGACCCACTTGGCCAGCAGCATGCGTTAGATTCGTCGGGAGCAGATCGATCGTGCGTCGTAGCTGTGCAGGAAAATGTGGGCCTTGCAGTTGTGCGGGGAAATCCGACTGTCGCCGTCGAGGAGGACGGTTTAGAGCGGGGTGCAATTGAAACCGCAGCCGCGGAGAATGCGGCTGATGCCCCGGGAGATGATGTGGCATGTACCGAGGCAGAAGCTGATGATCAGCCGTTCAAAACTAATCAGGAACTCTTCTCCTGTACTTGTTATGACGAGGGTCTTGAGCGGACTTCAGTCGATGTCGCAGTCGAGGACGGGGCCACGGATAAGGATGGTACAAATTTGGAGGGCGCGGATAAGGATCCTCCTAGTCTTCTGAGGGGCGAAGCGGATGTGGACGTGCTATCACCTTCTTCAGCGGCATTCGAATCATCAGCCGCAGTGGATTCGCAGACTGCGGATGATGATGAGGTGCGCGTTGCAGAGTTGTCGGAGGAGGACTCGGTACCGCGTGTGGTCACGAAATTGGCCGCGTGTCCACGGGTCCTGGGAGATAATGAATCGCTAGTACAAGCAACAGCAGTAGCAGAAGCAGCAAGAGAGGTTATGGAGATTGCAGCTTTTCAAGAAAACCCAGTAGCTTCTACAGATAGAGAAGCGCTGCCTCCCATAACGAGTACGGGAGCGTCCGTTCTCACCACGGACACGTCCGCGCTATCTAGTGCAACAGGTGTGACAACACAGTCTGTGTGCATGGATATAGAAAAGGCATCTGCCAGCAATGACACGGACATGGCACCCTCAACGCGTACGCAAATGTCTGTGTCTTGCAGAGCGGATGTGGATACGTCAATGCACACAGCAGCTGACACTTCAGATGTCTCGATGCCATCTCCAAGTGCGGCGGTGCGTTCTCCAGATGTGGATTGCGCTCACCGGACGTGGGGGATGCGTTTTCCAGGTGCGGAAATGCCATCTGCGAATAACCTTGTGGCTGTGGCGTCCTCAGCGGACACGCAAATGCTTTCTCTGTCGGCAACGAGTGTGCAAGCATCCGATCGACCAGAGGTCAGGTCGATCTCACCAATGCAATGTGCAACGCCACCAAGCAGTAGAGATGTAGAAATGCTACTAGAGAGCGCCAAAAGCCGGTCAGGAGCAGCTCCGTATACGGGCATGCCATGCTGCCTCCTATCAAATGCTCCGGCGAACGACTTTGGAAGGCAAGTCAACACGGAAGCGGATGTGGACGTGCTATCACCTTCTTCAGCAATCAGATCAGCATCTGCAATGGATTGTGAGCTGGGTGTGTCGGCCCGATTCCCAACAATGGAGTTGGGGGGAGTGGAATGTGCAGTGGCGATGGTTGATGAAAGGCAGTCTGCGGAGATCCTCGCAGAAACGCAGACTGAAGCTGAGGATGTGGAAATGATATCACCTTCTTCAGCAATTAGATCGGTATCAGTAGTGGATCGTGAGCTGGGTGTATCGGTGCAATCCCAATCAACGGAGCCGGGAGTGGATTGTGCATCGGCGAAGGTTGACGAAAGGCACTATGCAGGGATCCTTGCAGAAACGCAGCCTGAAGCTGTGCCGTACGACGAGCGGGGTGTGGAAATGCTAGCACCTTCTTTAGCAATTAGATCCCCCTCTTCAGCTGGAATTTGCCTAGCTTCAATGGCCCGGGAAGATGACAGGCGGGTTGGCGAGAGAGAGGCGATGAAGGTTTTGGGGACTGTTGTGTCGAAGGTTGATGACGATGTTGCGAAGATTCATGTGGCAGAGAAGTTGGCTTGTGTTGCTCAGATTGTCCTCTTGAAGGAGTCTGAGCTCGCCGGAGAAGATGGTAGGATCTCGGGGGAGGAGTTGGCTCTTTCGCCCAGAGAGGAAACCGAAGTCGTCGGGACGATGCAGGGTGACGCAATTGCCGGGAAGGAAGGCGACGGTCATTCGACTACAAACGTGGGCGGTGAAGGCATTGAGTCGGCCGCCGCGGAAGATCATCAGCCGGAGGAGGTGGAGGGGAAAGACAAAGACATGTTTAGGTCTTGCCTTACAGGAGGTGATGATGAGCGTTCCGCTGCTGGTTCTGCTGAGTGTAATTGTGAGATGGCGACTTCTTGTGTGTCTGCTAACGAGGAGAGGCAGGTGGGCATGACGGCAGCGACTTCACCGTTGGAGCCAGCAACGCAGATGAATGCCCCAGTCAGAAACGTGGGAGTGGCGGCTGGGGTGTCGTCGCGGCATCTGTCTAGTGCTGCTGTTAGTGAGGAGGTGCCGTTGGGAGCTCAGGCTGGCTTGCCTGCGGTGCAGTGTGATATTGCAGCTGAGGTTGAGCGCAAACGGCAGGCTTATCTTCTTGCTCTGCGGAAGGTCGGTGTTTCCAACGGGACGATGCCCACCCATTCGCGCAAACCAAGTCTGGTTGGCGATGAAAACCTCGACGGAGTACAGGCGGAGGATGAGGACGACGATCTTGTGTCGATGCAATCGCCTCTGACACCCGTCGCTGGCATTGTGTCTAATCGATCGTCGTCCCTAGTTCACAACACACGGTATGACCGGCTGTCTGAGGAGATGACCGATGATGATGCTGAGGAAGGCGGGCGAATGAGCGATGGCCTTTCTGAGGAGGGCAGAAAAAGGAAGGTCCTCCTGTCTCCCATGATGGAATATACCCCTTCGGATGGCCCTTCTGAGGAGTATGAATACGATGGTGACGATGTGGGTCTCAGTCCTATGGAGCGTGATGCGCATTATAGTGGTTTGGAGGATGAAGACGAAGTCCAGCTGGAAGTCGATCAGTCCCAGCAGGTCTATTTTGAGCCGTATAGAGCCAATCATTACCCTGCTCTGTCACCCATCACGGAAGTGACCGAGGATTTCGATGACGCGGATGCGAACGAGGACGGGGAGGAGGTTACAGGAAGGTTGAAGGAATCCTCCTCGTCGGAGATTGCCAAGCGCGACGAGGAGGAAGATGACGACCAATGTCTCTGGGACGAAGTGAATCTCGACGATGCCCAGAATTCTCCGGTGAGTCCTCCTGCGACTTGTCTGGAGAATGCCTCCTCGGCAATTGCCTTGGGTACCGGTCACGGTCCCCATCCTACCGGTAATAGTCAAGAGGGTATCCAAGTGACCTACGTGGAGACTAAGGAGCAGGGACCACACTTGAACGAAGGGAGAGAAGAGGACGAAGGGAGTATCCAAGTGTCCTATGTGGAGACGAAGGAGAACGGACCAGAGTTGAAGGAAGGGAGAGAAGAGGATGAGCTGAAGTTGAGGGACTCTGTGGAGGGTGAGGGTGGTGATGCTAAGGAGGGGTCGTTGCAAACCGGATGGTCGAAGAAGACGCTGGAAGGCGAAGAAGAGCAGGACACGCAGGTTCAGATGAAGAGTACTGATTTCTTGCAATCTCGAGAAAGCGGCATTGTTTGTTGTGCTGTTGCCGGCAATCCTACGCAGTCGTGCGTGGCGTTGCTTGGTGTAGAGCGGACGTTTGCCGTTGATGCTGCAGCAGTGGAAATCAATACCGAAGATGTATTAGATACTAATGTGCAGGCAGAAGCGAACGACCGATCTGATTGTGCGGCGAGCCTTACGAGAGTGGAAGAGACTGATGTCAAAGCCGATTCCCCCCGACAGAAGAATGCAGCAGTTTCACCACTCGTTGCTAAGGCGGAGGACCAAGTTGCGGAAGCCTCCCCTGGCCTGGGGTCGGAAACAAGACGGAGGGCCATACTGGGCAACATCTTCTTGATGTGCGGGTCGAGGCGCGAGCTTCTTGTTTCTGTATCACGAAAAAAGGATGATGACTCGGACTCGTTGTCTAATCAATGCTGTGATCAGGCCCTTCCCTCGGATGCAGAGTGGTGTCTGGACAAGGGTGGTAAGGAGAAGGAGGAGAAGGAGGAGAAGGAGGAGGAGAAGGACGAAGTTGCGTTGCCCGATGTGAAGGAGGAGGCCACTGCGCCTGATGATGGTGATAAGGGCGAGGAGAAGGAACAGCCTGTGCTCTCACTTGCCGGCGGTGTTGCAGGGGGCGAAGGGCACTTGCAGCAAGATCCTAAGTTCGACCACCAAGTTCCGTTGACGAACGAGCTGGTCAGTTTGAGATCGGGAAGGCCCAGTCGTGGAGGAGCTGTATGGGAAGATGAGGATTGGCTGAGCTCGCCTACGGTGGGTGGTGGGACTGCAAAGAGACTGGACTTCAGCAACGTATGCTCGCCTGCGTCTTCGTACAAGAGTATGGAGTTCTCTCCCCTGGCATCCTATCTTACTTCGCTTCCATTTTCAAGCATGCTGAACAAGAACCAGCAGCTGCAAAGCAACTCACACTCCACGGAGCTTGCCTTTAGTGCAGCCCTCTCTTGCTCGTTGGCGGCGGCGAGAGCCTCTGCAGATGCGTTGGTGATGACTGCAGAAGGAGAGGGAGCGGCGCCTTCTGCAGCCGATCCCAAGGATGGACCGGACGCTTCTGCGCCTAGTGATGAACCACACCAGTTGCCGAGTGATGAGGTTGAAGCTGAGGACGCTCACCAGTTCCCGTGTGACGATGAGGTTGAAGCCGAGGACGCTCACGGAGAGGAGACGATGACTTTGTCGAGCGTTCTGACTAGCACCGACGCAGTCGGCGCAGTCGAGGAGGAGAGGCAGGGGAGTGATGTCCCTCCTCGGAGATTGCAAAGCAGTACAAATGGTTCGGTCGACAGTGATGATGTTGTTGAGAACAGTGAAGCAGTACAGGTGGGGGTTGTTCCTGAGGGTGAAAAGTCGCCCGATGTTCGCAGCAGCGGCAGTGCTGTGGACGTCGTCGTCGACAAAGTCGTTATCCTGGTCTCTGGAGGAGGAGCTGAGACAGTGGAGGATGTCTCGTGCAGCGGATTCCTCAGAAAATCCATTTCCGATCCGGATTTGTATTCTAGAATGGCCTCTCGTGAAAGCGAGGACACTGCAGTCATAGGTCAAGCCGACGACGTCGGGATTCAAGTAGTAGTAGGAGGAGGAGGTTCTCCCCTTGCCGCTCGTCTGACACAGAGGGATGGGGGTGGATTGGTGCGTTCGGCATCGGCCCGCACCCCGCAGCGGAGAAAAGAAGCGGAGGACGTTCGTGCAAAGAGACCGGCTTCTGCTCGTGCTGTTCTGGAGTCCCCCGGAGGAGCAGACTCTGGCGTTGGATTGCTGCGCTGTAGATCCGCACGCTCTGTCGGGGAAGGCGCAGACATCAGAAGCCGAAAGAGTGCCATCAACAGCCTGAAGGACGATCACGCCACCGATCAATCCTTTTCGTCGAACAAGAAGGAAGATATCTGTACAGTCTACGTTAAATGGGAGCCAATCGGAAAGCTGCTGGGGAAGTCGACTGTGAGATCCTCTGGTGGCAAGGCGGTCACCGTTCTGACCGTGCGCAAGGGCAACAGTCTGGCGGACCTTCGGGTACAAATCGAGAAGCATGTGGGAGAAACGAAGAGACGGTTTCAGTTCGTCACGTCAGGGGTAAGACTCGTCTGCCAAAAACACAAAAACATTAGTGCCCCACCTGGGCCACCTCTCTTTGTACCTCTCGTCTTAACCCCACTGACAAGTTTAAAGAAGCTGTATATCTGCTGCAATTTTCCCGTTCAGAAAACCTGTTTGTGACAAGCTGTAACGTTAAAGACTTTGACGGAGTGTCGCAGAGGGGCCTGATGTTGATGGTATTACAGGGTTATCACCATTGTGCTTGCTGCGCTTGGCCCATCTGAGACTGCTCCCTCTTTACTTCTCTTCTCTCTAAGGTAATGGCGTGATCCTGACTGAATTCATCCGATGATGTTTGTGACAAGCTGTTAACGACTTGGACGGAGTTTCGAAGAGGCCTGATGTTGATGGTATGACAGGGTTATCACCGGTGTGCTTGCTACGCTTGCCCCATCTGAGACTGCTCTCTCTTTACTTCTCTCTCTAAGGTAATGGCGTGATACTGACTGAATTCATCCGACGATGTTTGTGACAAGCTGTTAACGACTTGGACGGAGTGTCGAAGAGGCCTGATGTTGATGGTATGACAGGGTTATCACCGGTGTGCGTGCTACGCTTGCCCATCTGAGACTGCTCTTTCTTTACTTACCTCTCTAAGGCAATGGTGTGACAGGGTTATCACCGGTGTGCTTGCTACTTCTCTCTCTGAGGCAACGGGCCGCTCGTCCGTGCGTGTGTGCGAGATTCACTAGTTATGCCAGCTGGCTGTTTATTTTGTTTATTGCATGCCTGCAGTTTTTGCCCTTGATATATGGGTAATCTTCGCGACTGAATATTTGGCTTCTTTTCTGTGTTGTTTGCTCATCAGGTAGTTGTATTCGCTTTGTGACTTAGTTGTATTAGCTTTGTGACTTTCGTGATTCTGGACCGTTCTGACTCAGTCTTATTGTTTGTTTGTTATTCTGTTGTTTGAACCAGGACGGTGGGGTTGTCGAGAGAAACCATGAGACTGTATTGAAGGTGGGGTCTCTCTCCGAATGCCCGAACGTGCGTGGAAGCCGACTTGCTATCCTCCGGATTCCGGCTAGCCATGCCCCCACCAGTGTTCCTGGAAGCTCATCGGCGCACGTAACGGACGCACAGGTGAAGCCAGACTCACCCTTGAGGGTGCTAAACTGCAATTCGAGTCAGGAGCTGAGTTCTGAGGTTGACGGAGGCGTTGGATGTAGCAAGGATCAAGGGCTGAAGCCTGCTGGAAGCGGCAATGTGGAAAGGGGGGCGTCAGGGTTGAAAGGGGGATTGCAGAGCAACCGAAAAGGCAGCGCGATGGGAAAGCAAAATGTCATGTCCTCGCGGGTGATACGTCGCCCTCTCGTTCGATCCGGTCTGTCATCACCAGGTAAAACGGACTGCAACACGCCGACTCGAGAGGCCTAAGCAAAGCCGCTTGGTACTCGAACACACAGCCTTTCCGCTTGCTGTTGTTGGTCCTTCGCTTTGCGATGCAAAACATGCTGTTGTTGGTCTTGTACCCGCTTTCATTCTCTTACGTCAGCCTAGCTAGCTAGTTAACGTGCTGTATTGACTGTGTATTCATATGTTATTGACAATTTTCGTTGTTTTCGTGTTGTAGCTCTTTGATTACAAGTCTGCCAGCAAGTTCTACGGCGTAGTAGGAGGCAAAGGGCACCGATTTCTTAGGTGTGTGTAGCAAGATATAAGGTTTGTAGTACTTTGTACGGGTAGTTACCAGAGGCGCTGGGCCTTGATTGGCATGAAGAGTGATGAGAGCGACATGTTCTATTGATGCCAGCTATTTTTAGCCCGGTGGTTGGCAATCGTTATGATATCGTAGAAGAAACAACACATGCCATACTAGAAGGGAAGGGAAAGGGAAGGGCAGGGAACTCTCCCGCAGTAATCGAGCGGGAGGTGGAGTCGCCTCTGGGAGATAAACTTGTCGTAGCTAGCCGGAAAGGCATTGCCCGGTGGATGAGATGGCACAGTCCTACCCGGAAAGGCATTGCCCGGTGGATAAGATGGCACAGTCGAAATTGGCAATCGTTTTGATATCATAGAAGAAGCAGGACATGCCATACGAGAAGGGAAGTGAAAGGGAAGGGGAGGGAACTCTCCCGCACTAACTGAGCGGGAGGTGGAGTCGTCTCTGGCGAGGTAAACCTGTAGTAGCTAGCCGGAGATGCATTGCCCGGTAGGTAAGATGGCACAGTCGAAATTGGCGAGGAGCCTCTTTCTTAGCAAATTGTTGCAGGATGTTTTGGAGGAAGAGGAGAGGGAAGAAGTGGTGTGGTGGTGGGTCGCTTTTTAATGCAACTGTTTTAGAGAGAGAAGGAATGTGATATAAATGATACAACGAACAACTGAGATTCTTCTTCATTCACAGGACGGAAGAGTCATCATGAACTCGTGCCTATGTTTGGGGCGCAGAGAGTGAAGAAGCGGTGTGATGGTTGGTCGCTTTTCAATGCAACTGTTTTAGAGAGAGAAGGAATGTGATATAAATCACACAAGGAACAGCTGAGATTCTTCTTCATCCACAGGACGGAAGAGGCATCATGATCGCATGCCTATACTTGCGTGTTTGGCTTCCGCATGACGAAGCAACCAGCACTAACCTACCTGCATCTAAGCGGTAAGTCAGCACTACCGTCTTCACCCGAATAGAACGCCCGGTCATTATAGCCGTATCTGATTCAACTTTCAGTCTAGGTACAGCGATAATGACCGGGCGTTGTACTCGGATGAAGACGGTAGTGCGGCAAACGCATGTTAAACAAGAGTTGGATATGGTGCCCAGTATACTAGCGCGACATTGTGTGACAAGTGCAGCACTCTGGTTGCACCCGGTTATCTGGAGTTGTGTAGGGTTGTTGCGCAGCTAGCTTCCTAGCTAGCTGCCCGTGCTAATCGACGTTGATTGGCCTGGGATGAAGATGAGCATTTACTGCACCACTGTTGTCTTCTACTGTCAGTAGAGGATAAACTCTATGGCACGCATTTTGCTCCGTCTGCATCAAGTATGAGAAGGCGACCCGATTATTTTCCTGACCCTATTTATTTTCCTGGGGGAACGAAGATGTTCTTTCCCACACGATTAGGTTTGACTGGTGTTGATCTGTATCTGTAGATTGGAATGTAACCTTCGTCCGTGCGCAGCCGCTAGGGACCGGCGTGCTTTGGAGTCTTGGGCAATGCTAGACGTTTTGCTGAGTTGAGGGTGACATTAGCGAATGCAGTTTGTTTTAAAACTATATCCGCGTGTGTTCTTTTTAAATCACAGAGTTAGGGTTGATACTTGAAAGTTGAAGTCCGTTTCTTCTTTGTTTCTTTTCCCCCCCTCCAACGATTTGGTAGATCGTCTGAGGAGAGGTGATGTTTCCTGAGTGGACCAGTCCGTCTTTCATATCCATGTCGATCGTTTCGTTCAAACAAGAAGAATTCTTTGAGGGGTTCTCAAAGAATGAGGTGATGGCGATGACGGTTCGATCTGTCATCAGTCGGGGGGGGAGAGAGAGAGAGAGAGAGAGAGTAGGGATATGTTGTTTAATAAAACACTCAGGATGTTTTGATGTCGATGCACAGGCATGACAAGGGTCCTGAATGTCCCTAGTTGGTTTGCGTTATTTTCTTCTTGAGTTTTTTTTCCCCCCTGAGCTTCGTGCAGAGCGCCATGTCTCTCTTGAGGATTTCAATTTGCATGTTTTTTTCTTCGTCCATCTAACGAGTTTTTTGAAGAGAGAGAAAGGAATGTCCTCGTTTTGGTGGACTTTGACAAGGCGAATCTCTGTGATCAATCGATGGGTTGACTTCGTCTTAAGGAGTCGATCTCTCTTTAAAATTTTGGAGGTTGGGGAATGATTAACGGTTTGGAGTGTTGCCGTTTAAACGGTGATGTTGGAGGAATGATTAACGGTTTGGAGGAAATGGTTAACGGTTTGGAGTGTTGCCGTATAAACGGTGATGTTCGGGGATCGGAAAGAGAGTAGACTCAGAATAGACTCAGTAGAGTATTTTGTCGGGCGCTCTTTGGCCCACTCAGTCCAAGCTTGTGGTTGTATGGTGAAGATACGAAGATATTCTGTCTTGAGCATAGATTTAATTTGGAGACTGTACATTTTGAAAGTTTGCTCCGTTTACAATAGCGAAGTCGTTACGGAGGCCATTATAGTGGGAGGGGGTAGTGGGAGGGTGTAGTGGGAGGGGGTGGGTGCCCATCGGAGTGTGGAGGGATGGTATTTTGAAAGACCCCCATGCCACGACTAACCGCTTGTTTGTCGAGAACGAACGTCAGCGACGTAATCATGCGTGGAATTTTCGAAGCGCTCGCTTGTGCCACTTACTGTGTCTGCTGTCAATTTTTCTTCTTTTTTCTTTTTTTTCTTTTTTTTCTTTTTTTTTCTTTTTTTTCTTTTTTTTCTTTTTTCTTTTTTCTGTTCTTCCTTTTTTTCTTTTTTTTTTGTGTTTTTTTTTTGTTGTTGTTTTTTGTTTTTTTTTGTTTTGTTTTTTTTCTTTTTTTTTCCTTTTTTTTCCTTTTCTTATTTCTTTTTTAAAGACTCGAAGCAAGGTCAGGCTTTTGTCTGTTCTGGAGATGGTTGGTTAATGTGAAACTCCTTCGATTCGAAGGTGGCGGCATACAGTTTGCAACGCATCCCACTCAGCATGCCATGATCTGAACTTGGTCAACAAAAGAGTAGAAGTGCACGGATGGATGGTAGGGAAGAGAGGAAGAAGATGGAGAGTAAGAGCACAGGGATCGGATGGATGGTAGGGAAGAGGAAGAAGATTGAACAAGTCATGTCTCCCGAAGGCGATCCTGATGGGTGGTCGGTCGATTGTTGGGCCAGGTGTCAAGATAGAACAGTAGGGACGACCCTGAGGGGAAAGTCGTTCGTGCCTCTGTCTGCGTGTTGTGTGTTATTATTATTAGAGACAGTCGCCGCACGGGAAAAACGAGACGAGTGCATCTTCCTGCAGAACATGGCCAGGTTGATCGGTTTGCTATAGATAGTAAGGAGTGTATTTTGCCCCCTTTCGTGGGCAGATGCACTCGTTTCGTTTTCGTTTCGTGTGCCGTGCGGCGAGACCCGACAGTCGCCCCCAACGGTCAATTCGAGGAGGAGCTGCCTATACACTGATTGCTTGCTTGGCAGATCAGATTCTGCCAAGCAGATTCCTCTGAGAGTTTTGCAACGTAATTGTACGTTCCAGGATCGGATTGTACGTTCCAGGATGAGATTCTGCCAACCAGATTCTTAGAGGGCATGATGACTGATTGCTTGCTTGCTTGCTGATCGGATTCTTAGAGGGCATAATGACTGATTGCTGGCTTGCTTGCTGAACCCAACAAGAATGCACCTGATCAGCCATTTGGACGATAAGACGACCAGGTGCATTCTTGTTGGGTTCAATCGCTGTGTTTTCGATTCCCCTCACATGCATGTTTTCATGCCAACCCTGGGCCTCGCTCCGCTAGGCAACAGTCTACGTGCATGTTGCGGGACTCGTCCGAATGCACCTGGTCGTCTTATCGTCCCAATGCATGTAGAGTGATGTGCAGTGGAGCGAAGCCCCCTGTGTGCCTCCACCATGGATCTAACAAAATTTCGGCTGCCATTCCACCATCCCTCGCTTCGACCGGCAAACTGCCAGGCAGGCACACGGACTTACAAATTGTGAGGCAAAAAATAATAATAATAATAAATAATAATAATAATCATAGTAATAATAAATAAAATTGTGAGGCCATTTTCCCTGCCTGACAGTTTGTCAGTCCTGTATGCCCCTGCCTGCCTGCCTGTCTCCCTGTCTGTCTGAATGTCTGTCTGTATGTCCGATTGCTAGCTTGCCATGCCCCGTCTGTCGGGCCTTGCTACACCAGCAGACTTTGCGTTGTAATCGTTTTTTTTTGTTTTTGTTTTCCCGTTGCAACTAGTATGAGCATGCTCTTTGCGTCGATCTTCCACCCGAATGCCTATTTGGTTTTAAATTCCTGAAAGTTTATCAGTAGATCTGGGCGCATCTGTCTTCTGCCTGGGTGAAGTTTCCCCAGTTTTTCTTTTTTTTGTAGTTGTTTTTTTATTTATTTTTTTGTTCTTTTTTTAATTTTAAGTTTCTCCAGTTTCATTCGAGTCATCCGTTGAAACTGGAACGATACCCACATTTTGAATGTATCGAGACTACGGGAGGTCCACATACATCCAGAATGATGAGCAGTCAGTGAGTCTTTTGTCAACCTGTCCGACTTTCTTCTCATTGTCTGTTCTGTTCACGGTCTTTTTTTTTTTTCTTTTCTGTTCACGGTCTGGTCCTCGCTGCACCGCTCAGCAAATGTGCAATGAGGAGAATGCATCTGCCGCTAGAACGTGGAAAAGTACATTCGCTATAGTTACTTTCCTTTTCAAATGGGTGAGTGTGCGGCGCGGCCTTCTGTCAAGTCTGCAGGTGATGGCTCTGCGTTTTTTTTTGTGTTTTTTTTTGGAAATGTTGTTCTGTTT